TAGACAGGTTTGAGTGGTAAGCGTACCTGAGTATCACAAAATGTGGTGGTCGCCCTCGCCACGATGCCAGCATCCTTGGCTGCCAACCACTGGCTGCGTGGCAACCATAAAGGGAGGGATCAGGAGGGAACAGGAGGGAACGAGGGAATTGTTCAAGGCAAAGCTGCTCATGCTCGATGTTTTGAGCATGAGCAGGGGGGAGTTTTGAGCACGTTTTTTGCAAGGTTCGACCCCTCCTAATGTGTACTAGTGTATTTTCAGTTAGGCATACAGGTAGGCATAAATGTATGAGAAGGAGGAGTGTCAAGAGCACATGAACCTAATGAGAAGTTTTGATGTTTACCTCAATTAGGCATTTGAGAAGTAAAGTAGCAGTGCGTTATATTCGCTGGTCAATATCAAGCCCAACACAAAGCTAATCAACCGAAATGATTTCCACACTACCGTCCTTCGTCTTCCCATTGTCTTCTGGCTGTGGTTTCGGCTGTTGTGGCTTCGGAGGCACCAGTACAGGCCCCGTCATCTTTTTGAAAAAGGAATCTATCTGAGAACCTGACGGTTTGGCCGGTGAGGGTGAAGTTGCCGACGTTGTCTTGGTCGTGCTCGGAGAAGTGATCGGAGTCTTCGCTGGCGACTTCTGCGTCTTGGGTTTCTGAGGTGTTGCCTTCTGTGACGTCGTATTCTTTGCTGTCCCCGCTTGTTTCTCTGTACAAGCCGCAGTTTCAGTCTTCTGCTTGGCCTGCTCAACCTTCTTCTTCTTTGCCTTCTCTTGTTCTTGCAGCTGGTCCTTCTTCCGCTGCTGCTCTAGTCGCACAGCCTCCAGTCGTTTCTGTTCTTCTTCATATTCACGAGCTTTACGCATCATCGTAGACTCGAACACCGGCTCACATAATAGCTCACCAGCCAGTCCAGACAAGTGATCCGTACAATCCTTACTTTCTTCAAGACACCAGAATGGTCCGAGGATCTGGGTTTCCAGCTTCGCAGGCTTGACGGCTTTAGCCTTCACGCGCTTCTTCTGCAGCTGTGACGGTAGTTTGTGCTTCGTCGGCGACGAAGGTCCTTCCCCGTGTTCCATTGTGTCGTCTTCAGCATCCACGCCGTCCATGTAGTCCACTTCATCCTCGTAGGCCAGCCACTGGTCTCCGTAGTCCAAATTATCCTCGTCGGACTCTTCGCCGTCGTTATCATCGTCCGATAGACTTTCACCAGGCTCTTCTTCTTCCCACTCATCGTCACTGTCCACGGAGTAATCGAACTTAGCAAATTGTGCGAGTGGCCGTCGACCGCCACGGAAAACTGGACTCCTCGTACTGTACGTGCCATAGTACGCCGGTCGACTATTCTCGTAGAACTGTAGCAGCTTCATTACGCCAAGCTTCGAGTCTCGATGACGACGAGAACTCCAGCCTAGAAGAGGCAACTCGACTGCTTGTTTCTTGGTTGCATCGCGCTGGCCTTTCAACGATGAGAAGATCGCCAGTTGAGAACTCTCCACTGCTCCAGACGAACTAGACCCCACGAAGCTAAACGCAGCGTCCATTTGGGCGATCTTGGTGCTCTTGCTTTGGTCTACATTGCTTGATTCTGCCGTGTCTTGGTCGCCAGTCATATCGATTGCAGCGTCGCTACTTCCAGCGTCATTAGCCTTGCTAGACTCAAAGAACGCCTTGAACTTCTTGGACGTCGCGGCCTTTTGCTCTTGTTCCTCACGTTCTCGTTTACGTTTCTCTTCATCCTTCGCTTCCTTAGCTTGTTGCCGTTCCTTTTCATGCCGCTTCTTCTCTTCCGTTGCACTGCGCTTCTCCTGCACTTTAGTCTCCCGAGTCTTCGCCTTTTGCAACTCCGTGTCAACAGCAAAGCCGAACTTGCCGATCTTGGCCTCTTCCGCACTCACCTTCGCCTCGTCCACTGGTTTCTGATGCAGCAGCTGGATTACTCGCGCCAGGGCTTTCAACTGCTGACCCAGACGTTTGCGGTTCTTGCGCATACGCTTTATTGTCTTCTGTGCAGCGTCCTGGAAATACTTATCCAGGTTCCCTACCTCCCACACCCACAACGCGTCGACACTTGTGTCCTCGAATATATTCGCTTTCGCAGGTTTCACACCGTATAGCGTACGTTGTGCGAGCATCTTGATCTCCATCTCCATTGCCAAAATGGCTGTGTTATCTAATTTCTCCGAATCAGACGAGCTTGTGATCTCTGTCGCCTCCATATCCACGTCCTCAGCCTCGAGATCTTTCTTGAATAAGGCGAGAAGCTGGCTGGTTATTGCTGACAGACTCATCGTCTTTCCTTGAATGCCCTTGACAATTAAACACTTAACTTCGTGAGGGAACTCAACTGAAGACGGCAGAACCACAGCGTCTGCAGTACTGGAGGCATGTGCGTGGTCTCGAAGCTTCTGCCACGTCTCCGCTAAAGCCTGCTGTGCTTTGTCGTGGTCTACAGTAACGTCCAAGTCGCGATCCAGTCCAGCACCATAGATTTCCTGCATGATGACGTCGCTCTCCTGTTCAGATTGCAGGAGTTCTGTGTACTGACGAGTCAATTCATCTGTCTTGAGCTTGTATGTGTCCACACGAGCCTGAATGGCTGGGTCTAAAGGCTCAACAGGGACAGGTTTCGCTTCCGCAACCTTTTCCTTCATCTTCTGTTGCCGCTTTGTAGGCGTCTTGGCTGCTGTTTTATTACTCCTTGCCGCCGCTGTCCTGCCTCTTGTTTTCGTACTTTCTGAAGTAGTTTTAGCAGTAGTGAGATCCACAACGTTTCCAGCTGCAGCACTCTCCTTAGCCTCAGCCTCTTCAACTGTATCCTGTGCATCAGCCACTGTCTCAGTAGTAATTGCATTTCCACTGACATCCACAACGTCCGAGTCGTCCACAATGGCGTCGTCCGAGATGGGAGCTCCAGCAGGTACAATGTCCCCTCCTGACTCCAGTTCAGCTCTGGCTCGCTTCGCTTCGGGCGTATTGAACACGTCCTCGTCGTCATCCAAATCCTCGTCTTCATCCTCACTATTCATTGCAGCATGAGGCGACACGAATCGTACAGGTTGCCGCTTTTTCCTAGGTTTGGCCTTGGCTTTAGGCGACGCCTTGGTTTTTCCCTTAGCTTTGCCTTTAGGCCTTCCTCTAGCCTTTGGTTTGACTGGCGTAGCCTTCTTTTGGTCCACAGACTCCATTTTATCGGTGGAATTAGCAGCATTTGTCTCCGTTTTAGCAGGAGAAGACTCTGAACGCGGTCTCTTAGTTGCGACGCTCTTTGGCTCTAAATCTGCCGCGTTCTCGTCTGATTCCTGGCCAGGCTTCGTCGGTGAGAAGAAGCTGAACATCGTGGCCTGCTTCGTGCCCTTCTTCTGCTGCGTAGAGAGGAAGAAAGCCAACACAAACCGTTAGTATGAATCAATCCTGCCTGTTACTGGACGATGCGAGGGTCTTAGAGAGCCGCAAAGGCATGAGAATGGAGCAGAGACGCACCTCCACCATGTTGACTCTACAGTGGCGACGATGCAGGGGCTGGAGACACACACAAAGACGACGCGCTTCCCGACACGAGGCGGCTCCACCTCGCTTTGTTCGTTTGGCGCGGTTTGGCGCCAGGACGACTTTCCCCATCAAAGTGACATGTCAGTGTAGTGAGGAATTTGCTAGTGTTGAATCAGTGTGGTGAGGAATTTGCTAGTGTTGAAGTTGTAGACAAAAGTTGATGTTGTAGGGTTTCAATATTCGATGACGACGCACGGGTTAACAAGTTATAAGGATTTCGAAGGTGGCGCTGGTCTCGCGGCAGTGGCACTGAATGCTGCATAAAAAGCTGCTGTTGGGACACCCACTGGCACTAGTGTTGGCGGAGGTACTGCGGGGTGAGGTGTTGATGAGGGTGTTGCTGCTGGAACGGACATTGGTGCTGTCGTGGCTGACGTGGGGCCGCTCGTAGCACTTGATGGCGCTTCAATAGTGGTCGCCGATACGTCTCCATCTTGGACAACTGTTGGTACTGAAGGTGCGTTGTTTTCAGTAGTACGAGGACCACCAGACTGGTCACCGTTAACCTGTTCCGCTACTTCCTGGGCCTTTCTAGCTTCGGCTGCTTTCTTCGCTTCGAGAGCCTTTTCACGCTCCAGCTGCTGCAGACGAGCTTCCTCGTTGATGTAGTACTCCTCCACCTCTGTCATCTGTTGCTCGAATTCCTCTCGTGACACAAATCCACGCGAGTACAAACGTTTCTTCTCTTCATCACGAAGCTCCGCTGCAATACGATTCGTGACCTCGTGGTACGTAGCATCGATGTCAGCTGTGGCGTCTCCGATAAACTCCATCCATCGCTTGCCTGCTTTTTTCGCATTGCCTTCGCTGTCTTCACCCTCTGCGGGTGTAGCCATCCCAACGTCCTCTCCTGCAGCCTCGCCGTCTTGTTCTTCATCTACCTCTTGCTTGTCTGCTTCACCTTCCGGCGACGGAGAGCGTCGTATTGCTTTCAAATACGCTAAATACTCGCTGTCATGCTTGGCATGCTCTGCGTCCAGCTCACTGTCGTCGATCATCGACCCAAGCTCACAATTCCAGCAAATGTTTTCATCGCCATTCTCCTTCGCACACTTCTTGTGGTAGTACTTGGTGCATGTAGGACAGCGGATCAACCTGGACGGCAATCCTTTCGCTTCACACAGCTCACACATGACCTTTTCCGGTTGCGATCGCTTGCGCTCACTCTCGAGCGTTGGAACGTACCACGTTCCTGTTCCTGAGACCTTTGCATTTGTGCTGACAGCAGCTTGGCTCGCTGATCCTGCTGGGCCATTCGAAGGCAAACTCTCGTGTGGCACATTACCACGTGGTGTGGGCGTTGGAGACTCGACGTCACTGTCCTCAGAGTCACTCAAGTTGGTGAGGTCCACCACGTTTAAGAGCTTCAACTGCGAGCGACTCTCTTCTTCAGGATCATCCTCTTCATCCCCGTCGTCACCGCCACATTCACGCATAAACGCCAAAAACTCCGGACTGCAATATCCCAGCACAGGGGGCTCCACGGGTAGAATTTCACGGGGTGATGCATTGACCTTGACAAACTCAACTCCATCCACATCAGCCGGGGGTGTCGCGCTAGTTGGTGTTGACTTCGAGCGTTGTTTCTCCTTGTTTGTGCGCTGGACACTGTCAGGATGTTTTTTCTTTGGCCATAACACATTAGCACTCCCGTTTACTTGCCTATTGCCAGCAGATGATCCCTTCAGTGCAGCAGACCCAACAACCGAGACAGGAACAGAAAAGGCTGGTGGTTTTGCTGTTTCTGCTGTTTCCTTCGCTTTTGTAGCCACGGGTGTTGCTGGTACAGCTTTAGCCACCACTGCAGATGGTGAAGCTTGTGCAGGTGCCTTTGTAGTTATCACTGGCTTCACCGTTGCGTCCGGAGCTGGATTCGTTTGTCTTGGTGTCGACGCTGCCTTGGTTGATGATGGCACCGCTGCAGCCTTTGACTGAGTAAGCGGTGTCTTGGTTGATGGCGTTGTCGGTTGAGTTGACGGTGTCTTGGTAGGTGGTGTCACTACTGTAGGCTTTTGTGTTGGCTGTGCGGATGAAGGCTGCACTGCTGTCGCTTCCGCTGTTGTCGTAGATGCCTTGGGTACCGGTGGAGATACCTTCGCACTAGCGGAAGATGTCGACCTGTTTGCTGCAGTTGCAGTTGGCATGTTGGGTACTGACGCCTCCTGAATCGATGAGGTTTCAGCAGTCTTTGTGGTTGGTTTTGAAGCTGTCGTGGCGGTTGGTGCTGCTACGGTTGCTGATTTTGTCGCTTTGTTTGCTTTAGGACCCGCGGATAACGTTGGTGCAGTGGCGGCTGGTCTCACAGACGTCGAAATTGCTGCGGTAGACGACGACAATGGCGGTGGATGGCTTCGTCTAGCCACTGCCAAACCATCAAACACAGTGGCGAAGTCCGATGCTGCAAATTCGACAGCATCAAACACTCGCGACTGGAAGAACGGGTCCTCTTCGCCACGAATCTCCGTCTTCTCTTGCTTGTCTTTTACCTTTGAAGCAGTTGACGCAGTAATTGCAGAATCCACTGTACTCTCCACATTCGTCTTTGTTGTTTCATTCTCTGCTTTCTTCTCCGTCGCTTCTACCGGCGCTGTCTTCTCCTTCTCTTCTATAGGCGGTCTCGGTTCCGGTTTAGATTCTATCATCTCCTTTGCCACTCGAGATACCGGTGGTGTTGGCTGCGACACTGAAGTCGAAGCCTTCTCTAGTCCACTCTTTATCGCAGCCTTCCCACCCGTAGGCTGTGAGTGTACCGGTCCTTTATCTGCCGCCTTCTTCCTCATCTGCGTCCCTTGCTCTAACGACGGGAAGTCACTCGCCACGAACGGCACAGTCGGAAACACGCGACTCTGGAACAGCACATGCTCATTATTGTCTTCCTTCGTGTCTTCTCGTCTGCTCGCCGTTAAACTCTCTCTAATAACCTGCTGCACCTCATTATCGTCCTCCTCGTCGCTTGATACGAGGTCGATGACGTCCGGTTGCTTCTTGGCAGGCGGCGTTGGTGCTGGTATTGGTGCCGATTTCTCTCGCTCACTCTTGTCTTCGCTTTTCTTATCTGAGGCCTTTCTAGTCTCGTCGTACCTCCTCTTTTTGCCGATTGAGGGAACTCGACTATCCGAATCTTCTTTGCGTTGATTGTTTGAGGCGCTGCTACTGGTTGCGAGTCGCCGCGCAGTGGGGCGGAACGCCAGCGTCTTGGAGCGGCATTTATCGCACACCTCGTGCTCCGAGCTGAAGTTGAGGCAGCCGCAGTCGCGGCACGTCACGCTCCGAGCACCGCGCGCCATGGTCTTTGGTGGTGGACTGCTCAATTTCGACAGAGACAACGCGTTTGATTGGCGGAAAATTGAAAATACCGGTTTGAACCGGTCTCGTTGATAGAAAACATGTAGCCATGTGTCAAATGAGATGGCTACATTATAGTTTGCATGTTGAAGTGTTTATTTTAGCTGGCAGTTGCTACCTTTAGAGATGCGGTAGTTTGACGTTGCTGCGCATGACCTGAAGGCAGGACGGACATCTCAATGCAGCTAGGTGACGCCCGGCTACGCAGAAGCGAACATGATACAGACGCTGTGACGGAGGAAGATGGAGACCATGCAGAAGAAAATATGGCGGTGGAAGGTAGCTCCACTTCGTTGTGGGATGACGTTGATGGCAACGACATGTTCGAAGAGCCCAGAACTCCGCGGGATCACGACGTACATTCTATCATTGACGTGTTGTCTAACCAGCTGAAGAACCGAGAGATTCCGGAGTATCTGGACGAGTTTGAGGTTGTCATTCCAGATGCAGAGGTGGTGGTCGGTGCTGTGCCCATTGAAGAAGTACAACAGCGAGAGCAGCAAATTGAAGAAGCCAAGCTACGTCAAGCCGAGTTAGAGAGCAGTTTGTACCGTCAGCGGGAGATTCGACTGGCTCAACAAGAAGCGCTTGCTCGAGAGCGTTTACTACAGGAAGCTCGTCGACGACATGCGGAGCTGGTACTGAAAGACCGACAAGCTGCTGAGGCCGTGAAGTTCCGTGCACGACGAATCGGACACGTATTCCAGCAAGCCGAGACGCACTTAATGGAGACTTTAAAAAATCAGGAGGCTAGAGTGGAGCAACTGTACGGCACGTTGGAGCCGTCACGAGTTCCACAGAGCCGGAAACGCTACCGCGTTGAATGGGCTCGAATTCCATTGACAATCCGCATTCGAGCCAAAATGCTCAATGCTGTAAAGGATAAACTACCTCCTGGTCAGTACGTTATGGTGGCAACTCTGTACGATCGTCTAGGTGGCCATGCACTGCACTGGACGAACTGGGACCCTGAAGTATCTCCAAACGCTGCAACCAATGACATCAGTTCACGTTCAAACGTTAGTCGCCCAAACTTCACGCGGCCGTTCCACCACCGCGGCCGCTTCTACAATACGGAGGTGGTAGTGAATCAGAACGTATTTGTGGTTTGTCCTCCAGAAGTGGAACTTCGACCAGGAAACACACTAGTTTTCGAACTGTTTATGCTTTCCCAGGCGACTTCTGCCGCCTATGCGGGGAGTAATACGATGTCTATGCCTCGAAGAAAACGTCGGGGTGGTCAGTATTCAGATCACTCGATAGCAATGCAAACGGATCACGTTGTAGCGTGGGGAGCGTTGCCACTCACCACTCCGGAGTTTCAGGTCGTACAGGGCAAATTCAAGTTGCCACTGTTGCGTGGAGAAATGGATCATACGATGGACAAGTACCGGGACATGGAGAAGATGTACCAAAGCGACTTATCTTCGTGGCTCTGCAATTTCTATTTCCAAGTGTATCACCTTCCAAAACCTCCAGCTGTGTTACATCGAGCACCACGAGATCGAACAAATGATGACCCTTTTGATGCTGAAATCGATGAGCGTGGGGGATTAGTTCGACTCATTGTACCAGAAGTGGAGAACAGCCATCAGCGATATATGCGCAAAATGTCTGCAGTGCCAAACTCAGCAACTATCCGAAAGCGACAACACAGTACTAACGGATTAATCCGAGATGAAAGGGATGCCGACATACAAGTCCAAGGTAGTGGCAACCACGGTGGTAGTGCTGCAGCGAAGCTTTACTCGTCCACTTCATCATCTCTGGTGGGCCACGACAATGCTATCAAGAAAAAGAGAGGGAAACCACCACCGCGATTTTTGTCTCCAACGCGGTGGAGATGGAAGCGCTGGCTTACAGGGTTTAACCCGACGAAAAAAACTCGTGTCTACGTACGTACAACCGCACTATTAGTGAATAGCTGCTTGCTCTGATATAATTTTTAACGTTTTGTTCATGTTAGTCAGGTGATGTGATCGCGATGCAGAATCGAAATCAAGACCTTAAAACAGTTCCACCACAGGGTGACGGTGAACATCAGTCAAGTGATCACCAACTAGGATTGAACGGGCTGCAAGTGTCGGATCAGTTCGACAGTATTGACGAAGATTTGGAAAATTTTGAAGACGACGAGAGCTTAGCTTTAAAACGCCAGCAGCAGCTTGATGTGGAGAACTTCACGTATTCTGTAAACGCCGCTGCTTCAATGGAGACAGCACGTCATAAGCGATTCCATGCTCAACGGAAACTACATTACCTGCGTCACGAATTATTGGTGGATCTAGGATTCTCAAACTGGCATACACTCGAGTTCTGGAGACTCGTAGCTATGCTGCTGTTTGCGTGCTGGATACGATTATACGTGCACTACGTCACACAGTGGCTCTTTTTGCGAGGCAACCGCGTACCCGTTTACGATTTCCAACCGCGATGGACTACATGCATTGTAAAGTATACGTGGCAAACTGTGGCTACCTCTACAGAAATCGGTCTGCTTTCATTGGGGGTACTAGGTAACACAATGATGTTCGGATTCCTATCCGGTGCAGCCGCTTTAGGCCAACGCTACGTGGGGGATCTACCAGCATTCGGATCCAACTTCGTCGTTTGCGCAGGGATTGCGACTGTCCTCGATCCGTTTCTCGTACTATTGGTTGATGTGTTTTCACATCACTACGGGTGCTCACAACTGAGCGAGTGTTCAGTATCACTGACAGCATCTGGATGTTCCTGCGTAAACGGTGACTGGTTCAAGCTATACGTGCGATTCCAGGCACAAGAGGGCAGTGGATTGGTGGGCATCTTTATTGTCCTCATCTTGTACCTAGCACTTACATGTTTATCACTTGTGGCACTCTACGTCTACCTGCTCTATGTCCATATGAACGGCCGAATGCTCGATGTTTACCGACGAGTGCACGGTCATGAAGGTGCGTTCTTCGTTCCACATGATGCTGAGATTTCGCTTCAGGAGCTACAGACGATCTGTGCCCAGGCCACACGTTGGAATGGACCGCGTGGTACACAGCGCAAAGTGTTTGTACACGACTACGCGTTATCAGATCCACTCGACCCACTATTTCGTGAAACAAACACACATGTGGCAGTTTATAACGTGGAGCTCGACGGCACTCGAGAGCTACATCGTCACTTCCTCAAAATGCCCGATGGAGCTGTGCTGGAACTGTTCGGCGAGCTTGGAGCAAACGCTGATGGCAACTGGAAGAGTGATGCCCCTCAGGGTGCATCATCGCTTGCTGTGCTGTACAACATCCTCCAGGATGTTCAGCGTGATGTGAATTCGACTTCAATAACCAGCGATGGTCTTTTCGACGGTCTGTAGACTGAAGAGGCCTACGAATTTGCAGCAACGTAAACAAGCTCCGAGTGTGGCGCTCCAGCAGGGTGAAACGACCCCACAGGTACATTGTTTGCTTTAGAGTCTGAAAATTAAATATTGAAAGGGTTATAGTATCCATTTGACAACTGCACTAACTGTAACCGTGTAAAAACCTTCTTTTTCTCAATTTTTAATGCTAAGCCATATTTTGGTATCAGTCTCTCACTCCTCCAGCAATATCGTTTTGACATCACCAGTAACCTCTTTGCTGAATAGACAAAAAAAAAGAAGGGAGCAATCAAATAAATTGTATTGACTGAATAACGGGTAATTTGAAATCCTATGATTCAGTGCTCTCAGTAAAACATGATATTACACCCTTTGATGTATAAAAAGGAAAAGATTAAAGAGCATCTTACCTCCAAAAGTTGTAAAAGTCCAGTGTATTTATTACTGGTAAACGTTTCCATGCAATAGATCCCTAATGGCTCATGAAAGGGGTTTGCTACATGTATGATACCAGTAGCATATCTCACAGACGAGTTAGTCTAGAGAGCTTTCATTTCACACCATGGGGGATTCCTTGTGGTATTTTGCGCGTCATCTGAACATCCCAGAAAAATCTCCAAGTGTCTCTGAAGCTTGGACATTAAGTTTCCAGCAAATGAGTAGCAACCTACCTGATATCCAAACAAGTATAATTTTTGTTGTACCTGAAATTGGAGAGTTTTTAACATTTAGAACACCTTTTAGGATTCGTGTCGAAAACTTTGTGTAGGGATTGTTTACTATAGTAATATTGTGTCATTGCATGCGTGGGAGCTGAATAAGGAAAAATTAGAAAAGCTACAGCTATTATCAACATGTGCTAAATGTAACGCATCCGCGTTGATTGTATTATTTAAATCTTTTGGATTATGGTACGGTTTACGGGACGAGTTACAGGTTAGTTTACGGGACGTTCATAAACTAATTTACATTTAGCAATGAGTGGTTAGTAGATAGTCTAGACACAACAGGTTAGTTTACGGGACGTTCGTAAACTAATTTACATTTAGCAATGAGTGGTTAGTAGATAGTCTAGACACAAAAGAGTGCAGACTTTTAATTTACTAATATCACTTTACAATTTGCATCCTGCAACACAAGCTTCCTCTACGTTACATAGTAGCACTTGGAGAGTCCAAGCTTCGACTTGTCCTACTTCGACCATCGTGCCGAAACTATTTCAAGATCTGCATCACAGTGATGGAACAGACCACCACTCCGCAGACCTTCGGGGAGTTGCTTCAGCTCCTCGCACGTCAGCAGACGGGTTTTCAACTATGATGCAGCAGCAGTACGCTGCTAGCGAGGCTCGCATCGACGCGCTCGCTTCTCGGCCAACAGCGGCACGAAAGCATCAGCCACCAATTTACCAAGGCAATCTCGATGAAGATCTCGAGCTTTGGTTTTTCGCGATGGAACAATATTACGCGGACTATCACCCACAGATGACGGAAAAGTCTTCTCAGTTTGTGACTATGGCGTCTACTCATCTGGGAGTGACCCCACGCAACTGGTACCGTCAATTTTCGCTGGAATGTGAAGCCTCGGGTCGAGTGAAGTCGTGATCAATTTCAAAGATAGCATGCGCCAACGCTTCTTACCTCCAGACAGTGAGTATCGCCTCCGTGAACGGCTATATGCACTGAGTCAGAATTCGTCACTCCACGATTACGTGGCGGAATTTCAAAATCTGCTCATCCAATGCACGGTGCCAATTAGTCAGCTGGAACTACGATTTTATTT